ATTTAAGGGGGTCTGAATACTTTCCGTACCCACTGTAACTATTGACAGTGCCATCACAAGGGTGAATGGGTAGGACGTGGTGTTACTGTAGTATTCAAGGCATTTGTTGGAGCTGGGGCAGGGAAACTAGCTGTTAATTTAGCTGTTTGTGGGGCTGCAACAAAGGCAAGTATAAAGGTGATACACAAAATTTAGTAGGTTACTATAGAGTAGGCTACACTTTACAGTGTCTCTCTTAAAGTAATATAGTATGTGTTGTATCTAAACAGTCTGTTTCTACTATTTGTCAGCTGTGATAAAGTGACAACCTGTCTGGGTGTACTCCAGTGCTGACTTGAATTGGCTGCACCCTCCTACAGGATCTCAACATTATAGCACATTTCTGGCACTTAGGGCCTCGACAATTGCTTATCTTGCCTAATGGTAAAGTCTGCCCCTGGCCTCTTTCCTAAATCACAGCTGCATAATGAATTTTGTTCACGGGCTTTCTTCATCTTAAATTCCATATTATTTCTTTGTAACTCTTTCACACTGAGAATATAGGAAATTACTGACTGGTGTGAAGGTAAAAATTGAAAGTGACCGGAGCTGTCTTTGAGTCTTTGTCAGTCAGTTCTGCTGAGGTAGATAGCTGACATACCAACATGCCAAACAGCAGCACAAAGCAGCCTGTGTTGGCCTGACTGCATGCCGCTGCTTTATCTTCTCCTTGGTTTACTGTCAAAGAGGGTATTTGTCATAATCTAAGCTATCATACCAATTATTTTTATTCTAATACACTTTGTTGTTTTGAAAGTACAATGTATAGTGTCAAATGAATCTTTATTAAACACATGCTTTACCGTTTAACTAAAATGTTCAAAACAACATTCACATTTGTTAGACTTTTCCTCTGACATGTAGGATTACTTTCCAAAGAAAAATACATGTAAAAACATCCCCCAAATGTGAAATAATTGTTTCCAGATAACAATCGAAATTAGAGAATGGATGACAGTGCATGCTCAAAAAAAATCTTGGGTGTGATCAAGTCAACAAAAAAAGGATACAGAGGACAAAGGTGTGCACCGTGTGATTCACAACAGTTAAACATGAAGTGATACAGAAATAACACACCTACTACATGTATGGATCTACCTGACCAATAAATGTTGAGTAATGGTTTTCAGTTCAGACACACTCTGCTAGCAAAATGCTGGTAAAGAAAACGATCTAGTCTAAAAATAAAACAGAGAAATATTTTTTAGCTTAACTTCGACATCACCAGGTGACCTTAGCAATAGATAACAGGAAAGAGCAAATCTTGTTTCTAAAAACCTGCAGCAGTTATAAAATGGTTTTTTTCCACAGTTTTTCACCTCATAAGTATGTCATCATGAGCAGCAAAGGCATTGCATAAAGGCAAATCAGGAGGTGACACAACAGGTTAGACTAGTTCTCGCACCATCACATCAGATACAGGTGCTGAAGATAAACCAGAAGACTGGCACCTCAGTTTGTGATTTGGCTTGACACACAAGGGCCTACATTTCACACGTCAGTAGGGGAAAACAAATGACATTTTTCAGATGCATGTCTAGAAATCACCTGTGGTCAACAGAACAACTATGAAAGATTAAAAACAAACCATTATAACAATCTTTGTAATAAAAGTTGTTCAACCAGCTCCTGGTTGAACGTGTGACCCCGCGTAGTGGCTATGTAACATGTTTGGGTGTTTTAAAATGTGCGTCACTATGCAACAATCCAAACCACATGTTTCAAATTCTTCTGACTTAGTGGCGAGCGCTATGTGCTCGAGGTTACACAAAGTTGTGTTCTTGCTCTGCACAACATGGGTTCTACATTTTTATTTATTGAATCAACAACATGCAGTTTGATGATACTACACTGTGAAAATACGTTCAACAAGTAGATCTGCATATTAAATTTGAATATTAGGTAGTGCTTCCTATAAAAACCTGTGGTCAACAAAGCCAGATAACATAATTGTGAATTTTAGGAAGTCATAGTATTAACAAAACAGACCTTCCAAGCATCTAAAACAAGAACAAAAAGCAAGAGTAGCTGCACAATGGAGTCATTGTTGGAATGATATGAGAGCTGACAGTGTTGTAGATCACAAGACGATAATAAAATGACAGAATAACTCATCACTGCCTCTTAGAATTATTAAATTTACAAAAACAACAGTTAGAGCGAGGGAATATCCAAAAATTCTTGATTGCCAGTTGAAAGAGAAATAAAATGCTGTACATACAGCTGCACAATATAAGTAACAAGTAAATGAAAGTGTGGGCATGACAATCATTGTACTGAAGTCATGTGAGGCAGTAATAGTTTAATGCTTTAAAAATGACAAATGCATAAATGTGTTGCTAAGATGTTTCCCAAAAGCTCTGCAATATCTTCATCAATCATATATGAAACAGACTATCTGAAGGGGGTCCATAGTAGTCAGATGAGGTGCAAGGTGCGGAGGTGATGCATTAGTCCCTGAGCAGGCCCAGCGTCTTCAGAGCCTTGCGACGGTCCTCTCCATTTTCTGCGCGAGGGCGGATCAGCACACTGATGCCCTGCGATCGAGGCAGCTTCTGTGAGTTTGAGTCCTGAGAGGTAGTGGGAACAGGCAGGGACCTCCGGGAGTTTGGCTCTTTGCTGGCGGCATGGCCTACCTGCAGCCCCTCTCCTTGACCGCTTGAAAACTCCTTCCTACTCCCCAGTGAGAAGGGGCGTGGCCGACTGTTCCGCAGTTGACCGGGGCTTTGCTCTCCGCCAAAACCCTGAGCGGCCTCAATGGAGTCTTCACCATCCATATAGCTCCTTAGACCCAGATCAGAGTGCTCCAAGGTGGCTGATCTGACACGTATGATCTTGGGTGGGGTTAACTTTCTGGTCAAGGTAGGAGGGGTAACAGGAGGCGTATACACCTGTGCATTACCTTTGACCTCATAAACATCTTTGACAGTAGAAAGGTCACTGAAAGCAGCAGGCACTGGGAGAATATCAGGAAGCTGGTCTGAAAGCACTGCAGAATCAGCTGATGGAAACACCACAGCAGGAGACTGTAGAGGGACAGAGGCAGGAGGTGGTGTGTTGATATGGGTGTCAGATGGTGTCACCGGAGGTGTATGTGAAGCTGCTGGGCTGACTGGAGAAGGAGGAGCTGCCCATGACCTAGTTTGGGGAGAGAGTTTAGGGTTCAGGCCAGGATCTGAATCAGGCTCATCACTTTTAAGCAGGCCCAGCTTTCGGAGGGCCTCAGTGTGGGCCCTCTGAAGGTCCGACAACGCTCGTTCACTGCTAGTAGGGACTGAATGTCCTGAGTTTCCATCGGAGACTTGCACTGATGCCTTCTGTGACCTCATAAGAATGTTGGCAGGAAGCTTCATGGGCTTAGGGGCCACTACAGGTGGACTTCTGGTTGCCACGGGCTCAGGAAGAGAGCTCATCTGGAGAGCAGTGGTGACAAGTGGTTGAGACAGACTGGGAGAAACTTCAGGTGGAGGTCTGTTTGGGTTTTCCTGTGTCACAGAGAAACTTGCTGCTTTCTTTCCATAGGCTCTCTGACGTAGCTGCTCCAAGTCAACTGGTGCTCCTGCCTTGGTACTGGGTATCCGTGCAGGTGAATGAAAGCTTTTAATTTTCACTAGCTGTGCAGGAGAGCCTGGCTTATCCATGAAGTCTGATGGAGGAGGGATCATATCCAGAGCTGTTTTGGAGGCCTCAGCAGTCTGACCTGGGGATATCCTGGCATTTGTGACAATCTTAGGATTCCCATCTCCACCAATGGATACACACAGCATCCTAGACTGAGTAGCTGATGGGGTTTCAGTGGCTGGGGGGTTGGGTTTAGTCAGCGAGGTTGATGTGAGATCTTTTGTGTTGGCTGCTGAGCACTCTGGTTCAGAGGTGTGATTCAGAATGTGATGCTTAGGTCTTCCAGACTCAGAATTAAAGCTGGAAATGTCTAGGAAAGGAAAGCACAATTACTGCGGTGAGCATCCCAGCTACTGATATAATTTTGGTGCAATATGTGCAGGCATGAGAGCGATAACCGACTAGGAAAACATGCACAACATAACTGATGAATAAAGAAGCACTCTCTGGTCAGTCTTGTTTGTCTAAAAGACTCCACAGATGAGAAACAGCCCAGAATCTGCCTAATCTATCCTCCCCCAGAAACCTATTATATCAAACTGCAATGAGGACAAGGTTAGAATAGTTTCTTCTCTGAAAAGCAAATTCCAGTAATCTGTTTACAATAAAAATATTTCAGACTCTACTATCTTCTCGACTGTACAGTCTGCTGTCAAAGATTACAATGACACTGAGCTATTACAAAGGTTTCTTTAACAGTGATTCATCAACTTCATATATACATTTCATGAAGTTCTGTCACAAAAATATAAAACAAGCATACAATTTCCTTTTGTTCCGCCACTTCTTTCTACCAGTAACCCAGAATCTAGTTCATCATTGGAAAAGCCGCTGTCCTCCTCCACCTCCAGCGCCTCAATGGTCGCCTCCAGATACATTATGCACGCTCTCTCTTCAGCAGATAAATGCTCCATACTGTCCTGACTCTGCACACAAAAGTAAGACACTCAGATTAAAAATTATCACATTTTGACAGAATATCTAAACTGCTCAGGAATCTCTGTCCTCCATTTAAACATGGCCGATGTAGACGGCACAAGAAAGCCTGGTCTTCAAACAGCTGCAAAGGAATGACAGCCACTCCTGTCCTGCTCTTGTCTATCTTTCATTCTATATTGACCTGGCAGAATAAATTAGTTCAGGTGAAGGGAGGTGTCTGCAATCAGTTTGAAATCGCCACCCTGTGTTCTGTTTATCTTTAAAGAAAACTTTCAGCTCTCACTGGAACCCCTCGAAGGCCCCAAAAAGATTCACTTCCTCTCATCATCTCCATTTTACTGAAAATGTCTTGATGCCCTCAGTTTTTAATTTTCCCCTTCCAGCCACTGTTGCAAGTCATTCAGAGACTGTGACTACTGTAGTGGTGTGTGGAAATATGTTGTGTTACAATAAACAGAGCAGGACAGATGACAGAAATGAGATCTACAGCAGCACTCACATAGCCAGAGTTCATGCTGATTACACTGTCACTGCTCCCAGCGCTTTCCATATGGCTCAGGGTTTCCATGGCAACTCCGCCTGGCCATGTGTCACTCTTTGACATCGCACAAGGAAGAGGATGAGGGCAGGACCTGAGCTTCACAGTTCTGTTTTTAGTGTGTAAATCTCACCAAGAATCAGTTTGAGGAAGACTCTGAAGGGTCAAGGAGAAAACAGGAACAACTAGAATTAGATGACAGCTATGTCCACACTACAAAATATTTATTTCACACTACACAATTTCTCAAATAACGATACAAAGAACAACTTCCTACAGTAGGCAAACATGAGATAAGGACATAGTCTGAAGCTCAAATGAGTAAATTAGCCAATCAACAGATAGCCAAGTAATTAATCATTAACTTTGTTTACTTTGTATTAAAGTGACAGTATGTCATTTTTAGAGAAGAAATACACAATTCTCCTTTTCCAGATTAAAAAGTGAATTAGAAACCACAAAAGAAAAAAACGCCATTATCCATCAGTTTGAGCTTCTCAGATGTGAGGGTTTCCTGCTCTTCTTTGCCTCACACTGTTTAACATTTGGCAGTAGATTTGGGAGGTACTAATTGTTGTTTGAACAAAACAATATTATTACCTCTGAGTAGGTCACCTGTGGGATGTGAAAAATTGCGCATGGCATTTTTGACCATTTTCTGGCATCTTATGAACAAACTGATCGGCAGAGTAATGATAGTACAAATATTCATTAACAACAGCAGCACAAATTACATCCTCATTACTGAGCACACAGTTGAAACAACACGTCTCTAAACTGTTTCAAGACTGTGTGATTTACTGCAGGACAGCTCTATTAGACTGCATTAGTTTCATCTAACTGCAGCCGGTAAACCGCCAACTCATTGTTTAATGGGATTTTATAAAATGATGGTATTCCAATTTCTAGGATTTAGCAAACCAGACAGAAAGGCTCATGGTTTTTTATTTTTATTTCATTTTTAATTGTGTTTTATTTATATAAAGACAAATTACATATGCTGTGTTACCTAAACTGCCTACCTGTGTATCCTGCCTATTAACCTGTGGATTTAATAATACTGATAGGTCAGGCCTGAGGAAAACATGCCAGCCAAAAATTCAAGGGATTATTACTGGCTCTTCATTCATTGAAGAAATACAAAAGGTGGAGATTTTCAAAATCCTCACTAAGAGATGCATGATTTAGAAACAAATAGGGCGTTAAATGAAATCACAAGACCCTAGAGAAAAGGTCACTTAAAGCTTACAGTGCTACAGTGAGTGAGTGCCAGAGCAAATATCACCAACAATAAACAATGTTGAGACATGCAGAGAGAGCATTTGACCAGCTTGAGATCAAACTCTGTAGTGGATCAGCTAGGTCACACAAAAGCAACAGTGTATCACAAGACAAAAGCTTTACAACCTGTTTTATGACTTATTCACGACATAGCTGCGCCTGCCCCATCAGGTTCAGGTGTGTTCAGGTGGAGGCAGAGCAGAGCTAACTTTATTGTTTTCTTATCTGAGAGAACATTTGATTAAACATATAAGAGCAAGAAAATGAACATTTCCCCTCATGAGTCAGTGTCACTGTTTGCCTGTGAATTAGCCTCCACACAAAGGTTTTTAGGTCTAAGGCTGTGAGTTCTCAGAGAAACCATTGGGATATGAAGGACACCTCAGGCACAGACACTCTTTTAACACAAGACAAATTTCAATTATGTCTGAAACATGAAATGTTTCTACAAAAATGGGAGCAGCTTCTGATCTTTCTTGTAATGGACTGCCTGTACATTTAATGACAGATCTTAAATAAAGAGATGTCAACCACTGAAATTTTAAAACTGCAACCTTAAAATGTGAAAACAAAACTTCCTCGAGTTTTATACAGGGCTGGAGCTACTGTCGAGGACAGTGAGATCATGCTCTCGGCATTTTACGTTCCACAACTTAGAAATTTAACGCATGGTGGAAACTTTAGAGGCAGTATTTTAAGGCTTTTAGGCCCAACAATAATAAATACATAATGGACTCAGAACTTTAACCTTGACAGTGTGGAAAGGGGATTTTCAAACAAACCTTTGGAAATAAGTTAACTGAACGACTTAAGTGTGAATGATTTTGATTTGATTTGATTTATTCTTTCAAGCATGTAAAGACAGTTGATATGACAGCACACATAATTTTACACATAATCCAATATCAATGTGCTTATACCTAGTACATGCTTGAATGGAGTAGGAAGAAGTCAGACTTATCCAGTCCTACCCCATGACATCATCTT